ATTAATCCTGGACAGTCCCACACACACACACACACACACACACACACACACACAGGCAACGACAGCATGAGGCTGTCATCAGTCAGCTCTCCAGGAATAACATCTGCTTTTTATCAGTGCAACTAATCACATAATCAACAGGTGTGTGTGTGTGTGTGTGTGTGTGTGTTAATGTGCTTGATACAAATAATTAAACATAGCAGCAATAACCTAAATCATAAACCTCAAATGTGTGTTTCACATTATTGGTTTGACAATTTAAAGTTTATTTTTTGACTGAGAGCCAAGTACGTGTGTGTGTGTTCTGACAGAAAGCCAAGTCCTAAAGGTAATTACTGCTTCACACGGGTACACTTATGATTGAGCATGTGCTCTGCGATTTCTGAGCCTGCACATGTTGCCCTCACACACACATACACAAGGACATAACCACACACAGCGCTGCAGACACACCGAAATTACGTGCGCACACATTATGAAAGCATGCACACGTGTATCGGTGTCTCATACACCAACATCTGCTCACCCATACATTCATGAAATTGATTAAAGTACACACTCATAAACACACGGTGTGTGTGTGAGTTGATTGCTCATGTGGTGTGTATTACCTGTAGTTCCCAGTGGACTGCCCACATGTACACCATCATCTACAGCCGAAATGCAGCGTGGCGTCATACACAGCCCACACACGCTCTGCCTAAAGCTCCGCTATCGTCCTGCTGAAATGTTGCAAACAATAAAATATGATCTGGTTCATCACAGAAACATATCCGTCAGAAATACAAGGAATAAGTTTGTTTCAAAGTGAGAAATGTGTCTATTTGCATCAGCCAGTGTGGTCCATATTTTCTGACTTATACAGATGAAACAAGAATGCGCAGGGAGAGCTGGGGTCAAAGGTCGCACGTTGCTCAGAGTAACCTGACCATGACCTCATCAGCATGAGGCAGCTGGTCCCTTGAGTCCTGTGCCCTTGTACCTTAACATACCTGCTCCTCTGTGTGTGTGTGTGTGTGTGTGTGTGTGTGTGGTTTTCCACTTGTCTCATTATATTAGCCAGATCCCAGCGCTCAGTACCATAAACAAGTCCATGCAAAAACCCACAGATGCAAAACATTCAGCCAAGATAAAGCTGAATGATTTGAAGAATGAAGTTAAAGAGTCATAAGTTTTATAATCCCCCCTCCTGTTTCCCTCTCTGCAGTACTCTGTATTGGACCGATTGGAACCGAGAGGCTCCTAAGATTGAGAGTTCGTCAGTGGACGGTCAGAACCGCAGGGTGGTGGTGTCTGACGGCATCGGTTTACCAAATGCTCTTACATATGACTCTTCCTCTGGACAAGTCTGTTGGGCTGATGCAGGTAAACACATCTACTACCACTGGTCAACCGCTTCTGCCATGAGAGCCTCATTTGCACCAAGCAGTGCGGTTCAGTTCAGTTTGTTATACATATTAGTGGTTGTTTTTGCATTTCCATTGTCAGAAGTTGTGGATGGTACCAATAGAAGAATTTCATTCCCTACTGTCTTTTCGTTACCTCTCTGTTGAGGTACCCAGCACACCCAGTAAGAAACAACCTGCCTACATTTAAGAATACTGTTTGCGGTGGAAAAACTATACCAATCTAGGGTTTGGGTCCATATCTGTGCAGGTTACGTACCGTTTCTAAGGGTACTATTCGAGAAGTGTTTGTTGGAAACGTGGCTTATACTCAAGGGAGCATTTTTCTCTAGGGATGGGGTGATACTTTTCAAAATCATAGTTTTGTAAGATCTGCAGACAAGACAAAGGTCTAAAAAGTGCTACAACCTCCTATATATGTTTTTAAAAATGATTTTATCTCTGTTATTTTTCTCCCCAAAAGACACGAGCAGGTATCGAGTATCTAAAAAGCAATAAGCTTCAGATAATAACGATCCATGTTCCTCTCTTGTTCTGTGCGTCAGGTACAAAGCGTTTAGAGTGTGTGTCCCCGGATGGTTCGGGTCGAAGAGTGGTCCACCCCAGTCTCAACTACCCGTTCAGCATGGTCTACTACAGGAACCATTTCTATTACACTGACTGGAGGAGGTAGCCATCTTTATCTGTCTTCCTGTTTGTCCATTACTGATCACCAATCAGTGCTCCCCATTCTTAATGCCTCTGTCTGTGTCCTCTGCCTCGCAGGGATGGAGTGATCGCAGTGAGCAAAGACACCAGTCAGATCACTGATGAATACCTGCCTGACCAGCGCTCTCACCTGTACGGCATCGCCATAGCTACTACCAAATGTCTATCAGGTGGGTACCTCGCTGTCTTACAAACACACACACACACACACACACACACACACACACACACACACACACACACTATCACTCTCTGTCACTTACACGCACACACACTTTTCAGACTCTGTTGAGATGTATAATTTTGGCCCTGTATAATCACAACCAAACACTCCCTCTCTCACACACACTGACTTTAAGGTGCACCAGACAGTGAGCTCATTGATTTGTGTGCAGTGATGTCATCACATCAGCCAACTCCCACCAGATGTCACCTTAACCCTGAAGGCTGCATTTACGCAGAGACAGAAAACACAGTTAAGCCTACATGGGGATGTGGTGGCTGAGAATGTTGAATTCAAGTCTCATGGAAACAAGGGATATATGAACTTCTTACTCTATGTCTGCACACACTGCGTAGCAAAACATAACAGTGTTTCATGTGAACCATACTATAAGGACACTGCACATAAATCAAATTAGAAATCGAAGACAAATAGTTTAGACATAGTGTAAATAATTACCAGAATATTGGATGTATAATGGTCCTGGTGGAAAACAGCATCATAAACACAATCTGCCAGTTTCATTAAGAGGCCGAGCCCTGAGGGGAAAAAAACGGATTGTTTCGGCTGATGTAAATGCAACCTTTGTTGTCTGAGGAAAGCCAAGTTTGTGTTTCATCACCCTGCACCCAGAGAGCAGTCATCACACAGCTGGCTCACACCCTCCACTCCACTTTGTGTGTGTGTGTGGTGACTTCTCATGCAGCCATGAAATAGACACAAGAACAATGATTACACAGCTGTGTGTGACCCTCTACTTGTATTTAGTGTTTGTGTGTCATGTTTGATGTGTTGATGTCTGCGGATGGCTTCGAGTCCTTTCAAAGCTTTGTGTTAAACACCTTGAAAGTACAAAGTAGCCCTCTGATCACACGATAATCCCTAAAGTAGCACCTTGGCTCCACACACATGTGCTGTGTCATGATAGAAGAGTTTGCACACACAGCTCAGTTTGTGCGTCCGAATGATGGCTGTCACTCGTGTGTGTTGCTGTAAATGTCATGTCTGTGCATCCTCTAACGCTCTCCAAAGCCTCAGACTAAATAACAGCCGCTTGCTTCAAAGACGTGGACGTGTGGTGTAATTGTGACCATGATGACAGCTCTAAAACACACTTGTTAAGGGTTTGGGAGCTGGCTGTAAGAGGCTTAAAAGCTGTTATTGTTGAATACATGAACACAGACACACACATGCTCTTTACGGAGATAATTCTCAGTCGCCTCAGGTTGCTAAGTGTAGGGCTTTGTTCAGGATGGAGGGTGTGTTTGTTCTGTCATTACACCACTGCAGCACTCCAACTTTCATCCTGTTACATTTGGATTCACACAGGAAGACCTTTGACTCTTCATTTCCACCTGGAGCTATCAACTAAAAGAAAAAAAGAGGTTAGACTTCCACTAGAAATGTAATATATGTGTCAACGTTATATTTTTGTGTGTCTCAGGGAGCCACTAACGACAGACTGGCAGCTGCAGGGTCCTTTGGTGCTAAAATTCTGGGGCGATTCCTGATCAGAGGGCAGGACCACCTCAAGAAGTGCCCTCCCCAGTGTCCCTCGGTAATAAAAAGGACACTCAGTTGGGAGCAAGATGGCTTCCTGTTGCCAGATCAACCATCAGAGCAAATTTACAACCCCTCCACTCGCCCAGACCCCGACCCCATTATCTCACCTTAAAGATATAACCCCAAAATAAATGTTTTGTAAATTTGTTTTATACCTCATTTTTAGTTTTTTTTTCTACTGTATTTTTGTACGTGAGTTTTTGTTTTATACCGATTAAACCTACAGAATCAGATTTTAAAATGTGTGTGAGAGTAGGTTTTCTGTTTTGTTTTTAAAGCCCAAGAAGAATGACCTGAAGAGCTTTTAAACCATTCGAGCCAAAGTTTTGTTGTGAAACAAAACACATTTCTTTTTGGTCCGCTGGCCACAGTGGCTTTTTATATTCAGTGTCATTGTTTAGCTTTCAGAGTAGATTCTGGACAAATATAAAAACGGGGAAACAGAAAAGTTAACTGTTTTGGGGGAGATTGTTACCAAGTCTTGACAAGAGCTGCAAAGATCGATACTACTTTCAGAAATGAGTGGTAGCAATCTCTTCATCAAAGTCTCGGCAACAATTTGTACTTCCAGAAATGTCAAGCTATGACATCACAACTGAGATTGAAAAGAATTTAACTGATGGAAGTTAAAGTCTTCAATAATTAGTGGGATCATTAATTTACCCGATTAGAAATAGAATTAGCAATTCAAGAAAATACATGTTTGAGTATGTCATGCAACATGTTAAGAGGAAAATCGCCGCCACTGTTGAGACTGAAATAAATTGTGTAATCAGATTACTGTAATCTGATTCTTCGTAATAATCTCTTCCCCTCAGCCCTGTGGCCACGGTCAGATCCCAGCGACGACAGTCCTGCCATATTTCTCTGCACTACTAATCTGTATTTCACATGTGATGAAAGGACGTTATTCTTTTTTTTTGCCAAATATTTTTACTACTACTACTTTTCAAATCTTTATCTTTTTATAAGATGTGATATTTATAACAATAAAATGTGATTTGGTACTTGACACCGTTTCTTGGGATTATTTTGTTATTCTTTCAGCTCTGATGCTCCTCAGGAAAATTACCACCACACAAGAAACACAGGAGCCAGAGTGTGTTCAACTGTATTTATATATTTTCCCACACAGCGTCAATGTAAACCATTTCAAAATAACCTATTCTTCCATCTTGAAACAAAAGACACTAATGTAACTGTCAGTTTGAATATTTCATAAGCTTCTCTATGGTTTCTGCTGAGGGAGACTGCAGGGCAGCCACTCTGAATGACCAACATATTAGCAGTAATAAGTACCTCAGTGTGTGTTTTGGCCTTAACTCATTTGTGCTGCAATACAAAAATCAAAAACAGCATCTTAAAATGTGGCATTTGCTTATATTACCTCCGAGTTCCCAATCGGATTGGTCTCATCTCATGCAACAACGGAAAAAACAAACTCATACGTCCAACGAAGACAGGCTTTTCCTTTCAAAATCAAATTAAAACTCCTGTGGTTCAGTCCCTCCCTTCGTCCAGCGTCATCCTCCTCATCCTCGCTCTCATCTGCCCACCTTGCCCAGCCTGTGGTCTGTCTTGGGGTCGGCGATGATGGCCTGAACGGCTACGATGGCCTCGTTGATCTTCGTCTGGAGCTCCCTCAGCTCCTCGATGTGCAGCAGGCGCAGGATCTGAGCCGCTTCATTCAGAGTGGCATCTGGCAAGAAATTTATTTCAACTAAGTTTGTGTTCATACTGCTCTGCATCAAAGCACTATTGTACCAATGACCTCTCTGGTGGTCCCACCAGAATTTGCCCTTCCTGTACCCCTTTCACTGACAAAGCTGCACTCACCTCCAGTATCAAAACCCAAGATGTGCTTGTCTAAAGTTACTGGAACACCCTGAGAACCACAGAAACATACACATGTAACACATATACATGACTGGGACTCATTTGAGCCACCCAATTAACTTTAAGGTTTTAATGATAGGACTTGTAAATACAAGAATCTCCAGATATCATTCTTTAAGTTTACAGTACCTCTCTGTTGTGGCTGGCTTTAGTGATCGCCTCTGGAGAAAGTCTCTCCTGGATCAGAATACGAATAGCCTGGCAGGAGAGCATGCAGACAGAAAAATGATTAGTATGACAATTTTCTACTCAATAAGGATGTAGTGATAATAAATGAGCACACACCCACCTTGAGCATCACCAGGTAGTCGTCATGTCGTTGTATCTGCAGGATGTTGGCCAGTGCCATCACTCCTGATTTGAAATCTGGTGAACTACCTGAAAAACACAAACAAAAGCTGACTTCATGTTTCACCTGGAGCACACAGGAGAAGAAATCAAAAAGAAAAGGAACAGATGTGTGAGATCAAAGTGCAAGGACAGGCAGAGGAGCAGAGGTGTTTCTTCTTACTGTCAAGATTGACGAGAGGGTCCACTGCTTTGTCGCTGCTGCCAGAGGCTGCCAGGGGCTCACAGCTCTTATACTTGTCCACTGAGGAGAGACCAACAGAGAACATATTAACGTGTCAAGTGAGGATCCAAACAGGCTTATACAGATTATTTTAAACTTGTTTGACGTTATTCATTTGTCAGTGTTTATAAGAATAACTTGACTGGTGAGCTGGTGTCATTGGAAAACATTTTTCCTTTTATAATATCTCCATCTACTGGTTAGCATCAGTATTACAGCATAGTCCAGTCCTGTAGCCAGTGTTATCTATCCTACAAAACTTTTCACTGACATCATTGTTATCATTATAACAACAGACATGCACGTAATGCCATCTCACCATTGTCTCCGTATTCATATCTTACAGCCAGGCCCAGTAACCAGTCCACAGCCTCCTGCTTCTCCTGGACTCCAAAGGGACAGTTCAGGTCCTGCAGGTACTGCACACACAAACAAAACACTCAATCACATATCATGCATGTAAGAAGGCACTGACAGCTCCATGACAATGGGGAAGAGACCTCTGCAAATAATGTGACTCCCAAAAACTTTCTTAACAATAAACACTGAAGGAATTCTACCCAGGAGAAGTTTCAGCTGGTTGCAATCTGCAGTCCTCACTGCTAGATGCTACTAAATGCCCCTGAATCTTACACACTGTCCCTTTAAATGTGGTTTGGCAATGGACGAAAAAGTGGTCTCACCTTCTGGTAGGCTGTGGGCCAGTCTGAGCTCGGGATGTTCCTCAGGTTTCCTCTGTCCTCTATCTTGTAATGTCGGATCTTCTGGTCCTCGAGCCATACAATGCAGTTCCTGAACTGTGTCTCATCTGAGCAGAAAGGACAGTCACTGCTGAGTAGCTAGTTTTTAACAGGATGCAGATGTTGTTAGCTAGCACTTACTGAGCATTTAACGTTACTTTAACAGTAGTAAATATATATTTACAGCCCAGCAATATACCCAAAATCCAAGTGAGCATATTTACATATAATGCCATTTCACATTATTACATAATGCTTGCCAAATTGCTCTGAAAATTGCATTCAAAATATATTGGAATACAACTGTGGACACAATAGGTGGTTAAATACCAAGGGCGTTCTTCAATTATCAGTACTGCCGTATAAGTGTGGTGTATAACTGGTTGTAAAAGACCCAGTGTCCCAACAGATATACAGGTTTATGAGCCACATAGCAGAACAAAGCCAATATTTTATAAATAGAGTGGTATTTCGTTGTCTCCAGTGACAGCATTTGCATGACGTTAACGTTACGTTAGCCGGCTCCACGTTTAACTCACCGGACTAAATTTAAGAGCTCCTTTACTAGTTTTGTTTCTCACCTCTGCAGTCAAATCCTCCGGGATTGTGATAATCTAGCGCTGTCAATTTTCTCCGAAACATTTTAACGTATACTTTCTGTCTAAGCGGCTGCTTTCTTTAGCTAACAATCGGCTAGCTCAGATGTTTCTGCTCGCTAGCGGTCAATATGTGGCATTGCGCATGCGCGGCTGGACTTCCGGCTGTGACTATCAAAATAAATTTCTCTAGCGCCACACGAAAATGAATTAACAACTGTGGCACTGCCACACCAATTTTCTAGACCAACTCTATTTTTTGTCTGTTTCCAGTACTTACAAAAACAATTATATCCTGTATAATTTCTTCAATGTAACATTCCAGTGTTTTTAGGTAGCATTTAACTAACTGGGTATTAACCATATTTGAAGGCAGTGATAATACTTAAAATCATTGCACACTAGCTCCCCAATTAGAAGAACCCACAGCAGTTATAATTAAGTGCATTAGTTGTTTTCACAAACTTCTAAATCTGACGCTCTGACTCCAAATATGTTATGTGTTGTTGGAATCTGGACCATCTTAAACCTGATCAAATGGGGAGATTTTTCACAACTACAGTTCACAGTATGTTACACAGAAAGGAGCAGAAACGTTGGAAAAAAATCACAACTTTATTACACTTCACATTTTAAAAAATGAGGCAAAAACCATCCAGGATGAGGCAATGGAAAAAACAAACAAAGAACAGTTTGATGTGTGTTGGTTTATGTTTCGTGTTTAGAATTAGAAGGGCCTCATGCGTGTGTTAAGGGGCAGGGCTCTGTTTGGTGGTGTGATCGCTATGTCCAGATAGTCTCCAATTTGGAAGCGCTGGGACTGCAACGTCATGGAGTCATCTGGACCCTTTCTGCCGGACACAGTGCTGCCAATATCTTTCAACCTGTAAGGAGGGACACCACATATGTCAATACACAAGGAGACAAATTCACCAGACTGGTTCGCAAGTGGCCTGATCCATGAGTCCAACTTGTGCAGATGGAGTGTGATACCAACCTGTACACTTTCCCTCTAGGATCAGGGTAGACGATGGCAAAGCTAAAGTTGGTCCCCTTTTTTCTGGCCTCTGGATGCACTTCCTTCACCAGGCTGGTGAGTTCCTTCAGAGTAGCATCCATCCTGAAAAACACACAGAGTCAGAGACCTGTTCCAATGCCAAACTGTACATTAGAATCACACAGTACTTTAACAAGGAGCTTTTACTGTCATATAAACTCAACTAAATGCTTAACTGACACATGCAAAAAATATAAATATTTGCAGTTTCACCATGTGTATATCTGCAGTTCGCTGGAGGGGACGTTGCCACGGGCAAATTCATCTGCTCGATGGTGACGGCCACTGTTGGTGGTGAATACTCTCAGCAGAAGGGGACAGGTCTGCAGCAAAAGTAAGCATCAGACATAAAGGTATATAGAAAAAGTAACGAATAAAGTAAGAGCTGGCTGTGCCAGACAACACAGGCAATCTGACAACGACAAACATTTTTCATTTTTAATTGGGACAGACTGATTCCTTCAAGTAATCCAGTTTTGTGGCACTGCAACAGTCAACATGAATCACTACACAGGCACAAGGGTCATATCTCTGTCTTTGGTAAATAGCGTACTTTTGTTTTGAGTTTGACAGTGGTTGGTGACAGTGGTTTCTTTAGTTTGCTGCCCCTTTGTGGTCACACCGAGTAACTACAACACAACATATTCTTATTAAATGTAGGTATTAACACTATTATAATTATCCTCATTAAGTGTTGAAATGGGTTATTAGTCTTCAATTAATTAATTAACTAATTTAAATAGTATCTGTATAAATATACATGTACACATAGTGTACTCCATGAACTTGCTTTATCAAACCCAAATGAATGGAGGACAGCACATTGGAAACACCTGTGGAAGGCAGCCTGTGTCATCTCAAATCCCTCTCATGACACCAACTGTACCACTGTAGTTATTAGGGGCAATACACAAACACAAAGCGATTAACCCATCAGGAAAACTGAGCTCAGGTAAGTTACAAATGTGGCAAAAAAGATGGGTATTGCTTGTGATTATATACATGCCGAATATATCCGAACACACCGGTTTGAGAAAGAGTTACATGTTACTGGTCTTGTATGTCTACCTATAAGAATAAAGTATTTAAATTGCGTTTTTTCCCCAGGTCACGTAGGTAACATTGAGTCAACTAATGCTATTAAAGTCTCAAGGTAAGCAATGTATTTAGTGAGCTACAAATTGTCTTTAACCGTTGGTTGGGGATATAACGTTATTCATGGTTAGCTAGTACGCTAGCATTAGCATGCTGCAGAGGCTACTGTTCAGTCTCCTTTTATTAACTGGTGATTACCAGAACATAACATGGCATTGAATGAAAGCAGACATACGGGCCTACATTTTTTAAATCATGATATAATGTTCAGAGTTTGTCCCGAAGTCTCCAAACTGTTAGCATTAGCATTAGCTAACAGAACCAGGTTAGCTTCGATAGCGCTGATAAGGTAAACAAGCTAACGTTAAACAAACTCCCGCCATGCACCTTTTCTCGGTCGATGGGCTTCTCTGGTTCCTTCTTGATTTCTTCTTGTGTGATGCGGGATTCAAGGGCCATTCTTATTTTTAACCGATATATAATACACTTCGGTACCGACTTTTGCCACCTTGCTTGAGTATTTTATCGTAGCTGCAGCAACGAATGGGACCGGAGCCGTTTCCGTTTCCGGTGTCGTTTCAGTGGAGTTCAGCCAGCGATAACTATCGCCCCCTAGTGTTTCGGAGTGAGTCTCCATGCATCATGTTTCGCATGACTACAAATAAAAAAAATATAAATAAAATATTTTGGCTTAAAGCAGTCTAGCCTGAGAGATTTTTTTCAATAAATTCAACTTTATTGAATATATTTATTACACTCAGCTAAATATTTAAAAAATATGTCATCCTCAATAATGCACACTTTAAAAAAGAAAAACTTTACACATATTTAGCCCACATATAGCCCACATATAGAATAACACACGAAAGTAAGCTGTAATAATGCTAATGATAAGAACAAGAAGATATCATTTATCAATCGCTCTGTTGTCAAATAGAACAAGGTCAAAATACACACACATGCACAAACAGGACCTATACATGCATTAAATGAAGAGATGTCAAAGCAGTTGGGGGTCCAGTGCCATGCTCAAGGGCACCTTGGCAGTGCCCAGGAGGCAAACTTGCACCTCTCCAGGTACCAGTCCACGCTCCATACTTGGTCCGTACAGGGGACTTGAATCAGTGACCCTTCGGTGCGCAAGCCCAGTCCCTACGGACTGAGCTTCTGCCCCTGTTCAACATTGAAATCTGACCAATGCAAGCACAAACCTAAGTAATAATATGTATAAGAGAATGTGTGCAAAAGATTAAGGTGAAAGAAAGAAACATAACAAAATAAAATCTTTCAGGGTTTGCTGAATAAATAAAATTGAGATGTCTAAATAATCTAATAGTTGTTGCCAATTTATAATGTTTGAGTTTTGTGTGTTGAATTTTAGTGGCATCAAGTGGTGAGGTTGCACATTGCAACCAACAGAAACTTCTCCTGAGTGCTAAGCACGTTGGAGAAACAGGGTGGCCGACGCGAAAACGTGAATGGACCTGTCTAATATAGCCAGCATTTGATTTGTTCATTCTGGGCTGCTGTAGAAACAACATGGCGGACTCTGTGGAAGAGGACCTGCTCTGCATGTGGATAAATGGCTCATTCTAAGGTAACGAAAACACAACAATTCTTGTCAGGTGGTTATACACTAATGCAAAAGAGTTATGAATATTCTTATCTATTTCTGCCAATATATCCCTCTAAATCCTACACACTGGACCTTTAAATTTTCAATAGTAGTCAAGTACATTTTAAAATCAGTATCTTTAAAGACATAAAAGAAGGGTTGTCTTTTAAGCCAAATCATTTTATGTATATAACATTTTGCTATAATAATATCAAGTTAATTATGTAGCCTGCTTCTCATCTGCTGAGAAACTGGGATTGTTAAAAATGAGTATCAAGCTTTGTTAGTAACCTGAAAGTTACACAAATCATCAGGACGTCTCGCAGAATCAATGGAGTGGCTGATCCAGGATCAGTCCACCAAGTCCACCTACAGAACTGAAATCTGCCATCCAGTCACATGCTGCTCTCCCCCTCACTCATTACAGTGTGTGAGTGTGTGTGTGAAGCTCTCTGGGTATCATATGTGAGTGTTGTACAGTGTGTGTATCCTGACACTGGCCCCCTCTGTTCTCCTGCTGGCTGCCTGATCAGGAGCTACTCTAACAATCAGCTCTATTTTACCTCTCTCTCTCTGTCTCCCTACTCATTCACTGTGTGTGACTCGCCTGAAACAATCCGCCAGCCTTTCTCCCTCTGTGTTTTTTTCCTTTAGTCCTGTCCTGACTGAGAGATCAAACAATGGCTCTTTGAAGCTGGGCCTGACACTGATATTCATTCACTGATATGCATCAAGAATAAGTGTCGCTGTTATTCCCCTAATGACTCCATTAGAATCACTGACGCCCTCTGTGTCTCAGCCCCGGACGGTTTCCTGCCCCTTCACATCATCGCTGCTCATTTTGCAGGGTCATGTTGCGTGATGTGATTCAGAAGAGACTCTTGATACGGCGTCTGCAACTCTTGCTTCATTATAAATGAAAACTCACTCTACTGATACACCCATGTCTACAGGTCGATTCAAACATTTTAGCTCAGGCAGAATATGCTGAAAATGTCGCAGCCCCCTCAGATGTATTCATTTCAGTTTTGTGAGGATCCACAGTGTAAACTGAGGAAGTTGGTTTTGCTCCCACACATCAACAAACAGTGGGAAAAGCTCATCGGTCACAGTCATTAGCAGCACACAGAGCTGCACTGTCCGGCAGGCTGACCGCTGCCAAGGGATGGTTGGGCTCTGAGAAGTAACTTTGACTCTCTACCTGTGTCCTGTTACAGGCACAAAGGGATCACACACACACACACATGCACACAGACATGCACACACCTTTTACTACAAAGCAGTGTTGTTCTTTCAACCTCCTGACTTCCACCCTGCAGGGGCATCATGTAGGAAGTACAGATGTGACCTTTTAATATAATTAAAGTTGTGTAACGTATGAAAATGCTTACTGTGACATTAAAGCTGGGGTAGGGAGAAAAGAAATTTAAAAAAAAAACAGCAGAATTTGAATATTCACCCTAAGCCCCTCCTACTAGACGACCACAGGCATATGCATGCACTTCATACATTAACTTAGTGTTTCCCATTATTGATTTATTTAATCTTGGTTTATTCTACAGTTGCCACTGTAGAGGTCACTCAGCCCCTCCTTGCCCCGCTCTCTCTCTGTGTTTGTCAGACTGTAAATTAGACAAGATTTAGCTAGCTAGCCACCCTGCAGTCCCTCCAAATCGCTCTGGTCTTCTTGTTGCTGCAAGGGGACCAGGCAGCAGCTCTGAGATGAACCTTTGGTTGGCAGCTATAGCTGCTCGAATTCAACCAGTGCAAACCCCCAAGTAGCCATTGGGTCTAACTTGTGAAACAGCAGCAACAGAAAGTTTGCTGATCTATCGGGGAGTCGGGCTGTCTGGTCCCCTGGAGCTGGAGTTTGCATTGGCTGGATTTAGATTGCTGCAGCTGCTGACTGGGGTCGGTCTCCAGGGCTGCTGCCTGCTCTCCTCTTGGCAAGGTGGTCTGTAGCAACAGGGAGTGAGGCAAAGGACACACAATGATGTGAGGCTCTAGTTAACATTAGCTACAAAAACATGAACTTGACTTTGCTGCAGACGTGAGCCTTTGGATCCTGTTAGCAGAAGGCTAAACTATTAGCAACATGTTTTCTTAATCTCCGAAACACTTTGCAGATATTAAAACATATTTTGTTTTGTTTATTGTCAGACTCTCTTTAAAACTCTCTTTATGATAAGTCTGTCTTCCTTTCTGGGTGCTTTGCAGTGTAGGCAGTTGCTGATAATGCTGTAATAGTAACTTTCTCTGTGGGATTCTTTGCCTTTGAATCAGGCTTTGACTGAAAGGACATGCACATGGATGTATATTTGTATAACAGCCAGTAGGAACACCCTCTTTCTGAGATGAGAGTCTCCCATGACGGCATTTTCTAAAGCATTAAAACAGAGCAAAGAGGAGGTGCACAAGTATAAAGTTGTTTTAGTCCACTTGAATTACAGTGTGCCCAAAGTTTATGTGATTTTTTTTTGTCAAGTGGCACCAAATTATTGGTATAATAATTGTGGTACCTTGTTAATTCAAGTTTACTTGTTGCATAATGCCTTTGCAAAATAAAAACAAACAAACAAAAAAAACAGATGATGTCATCAGGGTTGTCTTGCTTTGGGCTTGAGACTTAAAGTTTCACAGAAAGCTTTAACTTGACTGATGAAGGTCTCATTAAGGTCTAGTAAGTAGGTAGGATCCAATGTTTTTGGAGATGAGCTTGACTCAAACTTGTAGCCCAAAATCAAGTATTCTCTGACTCTGCTGCTTTAATTTGGACCATTATTTTTTCAAGATTTTCCTCTAGCCTTTCACTGCCTTTATCATTTACTGAAACTCTCACAAAACAATCCCATTAGTAGTCTGCGCATTTATTCAGAGTGACAGACACAGTATATATAGTATTAGTAGTTTATTATCAATGTCTGTGCAGCCTTTGCTACATTTCTCTATGTATATTATCTCCATGTCTTCTGTAATACTTCTGTTGCCTCTTGCTCTGCCGCTGTGAGGTTTTATTTTGAAAGCCTGCACAGGAAATCCCCTCACATTGTTCTGACTGACTTGACGTTGGAGACCCATCTTTTCTTTGATGCAGAGGAAACAGGAGCTGCAGGTTTGTTTTTTGTTCCGTGTATTAGACCTAGATTTGATTCAGTTTTGCTTCACTTGAATCATACCAGCAATGATGAGACAGTGAGCTGTTTGTTTGTTTGTTTTTTACTGAAAAGGACCATGTGGAATATTTTCCTGAAAACACCCTGACTCTGCAGACACAAGGTAGGACAAGTATTTTTTGACAAAATCACTTCTGGAAAAGGATTTTCAGAAAATAAAAACTTTTATTATCCCCACAATTTCTACATATCTAACTTTTTTCAGGAAGCATTTACCAATAATTGCTCCTAATTAACATACCATGCATACCATCATGCTGTATCAGTACAATCAGTAATCAGTGAATCAATAATCAATCAGTGGTTGACTGTGAATGGTGCAGCTCAGTGAGGACTGTAGTAGTGTGGGTTTGTACAGTGTGTTCAGTGTGTTTTTAGTTGAGTGGGCTTGGCTCAGTACAGTCCACAGTGGGCAGAGAGGTTCATCAGTTCACATGGACTCTGGCCCTTTGCCTTCTCTCCTTCTCCTCCTCCTCTCACTTTCATTCCTTTTCATCCTCTTCTTCTGTCAAACCTCTCTTTTGTTTCATCGCCTGTCTCTGCTTTCATCTTCTGCCACCGCCTTCCTTCTCAATTTCCATCTGTGTTTCTGTCAGATGAGCAGTTCAAAGGAACCAGCCAAACCTGGTACATAAATCCACTTCTATACAGGCAGCTAGTTTGATAGTATTGTATTCTCATGTGTTGGCCTGTTTCCCCAGGATGTCTTGGCCCGCGCTGTACGCTCAGTTAGTCGGGGCAAACCGTCACTCCACCAGCCTAGGGAAGATCTGGCTCTCTGTGCTGTTTATTTTCCGGGTCATGGTGCTGGTTGTTGCTGCTGAGAGCGTCTGGGGGGACGAGCAGTCTGACTTCACCTGTAACACACTCCAGGTAGGGCACCCAGACACATGTAATATATCCAATTCCTCACCATGTCACCTTGCTGTGTGGGATGTCATGTCATCGAGATGTGATTCACCTGTGTGTGTATACAACACATATAAAGCAACTAAACTGTTGCTGTCTGTTTTTCAGCCTGGCTGTGAAAACGTCTGCTATGATCAGTTCTTCCCTGTCTCACACATCCGTCTCTGGTGTCTTCAGCTCGTCTTTGTGTCCACGCCAACACTCCTAGTCGCAATGTATGTGGCCTATCGGAACCACAGAGATAAGAAGACGCTCCTACAGGTGTGTGTACCATTTCATTTGTCTGCCATCCTGGGGGGAGACTGTTCCTGTGTCTTGTCTTTTCTCTTTTTTATCTTGTCATGTCTTGCTCAGCAGGGATTTGCATCTCCATACAGGGCTACCTGTTTGAAAATGTGTCTTTAATTGACGACGCACTTGCCTTGAATGGATGATGTTTCAAAGCAGCGCCCTCTTTGGTGCTGTTCACTATTGCAATGTGCACCAGTTGTTTGTAGACAGCTACCTACCATATAGTAAAGTAATGTACACTAAGGGGTCGTAGTGAGGTGCTGATCACGAGCAGTAGACTTGGAAGGAGAAAAGAAGCCAGCGAGTGATCATCATGAATGTTTCAGGATATTGTCATGATTTTGCTGTGCACCTATCGGTAATTGCTTGAAAAATTTAGGTTTACGTTGACGAAGCCCATTTGACGTCAGTGCAACCCATGTGGAGGTGATCAGGTGTGCTTGGACATGACTTTGACAGGACTCACTTTGACCCAACACTCAGACACAACGTGGCACCTTTAAGCTGCTACTGGAAGCTGCGGCATGGTTTGACTTGGTGCAGCCCAAACTTCCCATGGGAAAGCCCTATTGGAAGTGGGAGGCTGTGAATTGAGAAGTGCATGCTGGGTGGTTTCTGTCAGTCAAGTGATGACTGACTTGACGGGCTTGGTAAATGGACTTGCACTGTATAAGCCCTTTTAGTCTTTGGACCTCTCAAAGTGCTATTATACTACTTTTTACATTCACTCAGACATTTACACACTGGTGGAGCACCGGTGATACTTCAACCTCCAGACTAGAGGAGCTTGGGATCAGACCACCAGTTTTCCAATTAGTGGACAACCTCCTGAGCCACAGCAGCCTACAAGTTCTTTCAGATGACAATAAGACTGGGTTTTTAGCAGATGTCCTTTTCAAGAGCAATAAAAGTGAAATGGAAGAAGTACATTTCTAGATCTCCAACTCTACAACCAACAAACTGAACGAGTGCAAAAGACACAAAACAGTACCATCACAGCAGAGTTTGACACAATACAAAACAGTAGATGAGAAAGAGAAGAGCTCTTGTCTTTTCTCTTTTATTAGTTCACGTCTTGTGTTGTTGTATTTTTCCCTCTTGTTTAGTCTTCTTGAAATATATTTAAATAACCACTGAATAGATTTGTAGGAACACTGAGACACAGACAAACAAAACCAGCACAACATTTTTTAATCTCTAGATTTGGTGACAAGCATTATACAGATCTGCAAATATGAAGGGTTTGGATCCAGATTGCAGACAAACAATATTTTCTCTGGCTCCATTTTAAACCTGCCATGCTATGCTCTTCTTAATGTTCCTGATTGGTCAGTATTCAGACTGAATTGAAATACAAGATCATGTGCCAGTAAAGTTTCAGGGAAACTTTAAAGTAACACACATTAGCTGTAGTCAGCAACAGGTTTCTCATCGTTTTACCTAAGATCATCCCTGATCTTCTTAAATCCTTTTCCACCAACTGCACCTTACAAGTAAGACATCTCACCTCCACACCTCTGTATAGAAGATACAGAGTTATCACACAGGGACAGGGGTGCTTCAGCCTCTCTTTCAAGCTAGTGTCTCTCACAATGAGCTTTTCTTGTATTTCAGTTTCAACAGAACCAGGAGAGTTATGAATCTCCTGATTTGGGACTCATCTATTCATGCAAGCAAAAAATATGACATTATAGACCTCCTCAAACACTTTCTGATCCTCTCTGCTTTATATTTTCTTAGAATAGACAGATCTAGTTATGTTTAACTAATTTTCCCTCAACTGTTGTTTTGTCTTGTAATGCCTTGCTTTATCATGTCATGTTTTATCATGTCATTTTTTATCATGTCATGTTTTATCTTGCCATGTCTTGTTTTATCATGTCATGTCATAACTGCTAATTTCCATCTGTAGTCCCAACATATAATTTACAATATACACAGACCACAATCTAAAAAACAAAGAAACCTAAAATACAGATGAACAGAGGACAGCACAGAGACAATACAGACATACAATTTCCACATTTAAAATAACCAAGTTGTTACAGTGCAGGGAGGAACAACTTACAAAACACTAAAAGGCAGTCCAAGTAGCAGCTCCTGATATAAAGTGCAAGGCAGGAATGTGCATAGATAAAGTGCTGGTGTTGTTGTTGGTTGTCAACAAAGTGCTCGTAGCAGCAAAAAAAGTTACAGAGTTGATTATAGTTTAGAGTACAACAATAAGAAACCTAAATACCAACGATGGTAATTTGGGATTACAGGGATGATTAAATACCAACAATGGTAATATGACAGAAATATCATGTCATATCAATGTCATGTCTTGTTTTATCATGTCATGTTTTATCTTGTCATGTCTTGTTTTATCATGTCATGTTTTATCTTGTCATGTCTTGTTTTATCATGTCATGTCTTGTTTTATCATGTCATGTCATGTTTTATCATGTCATGTCATGTTTTATCATGTCATGTTTTATCTTGTCATGCCATGTTTTGTCATGTCATGTCTTGTTTATCTTGTCATGTCATGTTTTATCTTGCCATGTCTTACTTCATCATGTCATGTCATGTTTTATCTTGTCATGTCTTACTCTATCTTGTCATGTCATGTTAATCATGTCATGTTATATCATGTCATGTCATGTTTTATCTTGCCATGTCTTACTTCATCATGTCATGTTTTATCTTGTCATGTCTTACTTTATCTTGTCATGTTTTATCTTGTCATGTCTTACTTCATCATGTCATGTTTTATCTTGTCATGTCTTACTTTATCTTGTCATGTCATGTTTTATTATGTCATGTCTTACTTTATCTTGTCATGTCATGTTTTATCTTGTCATGTCATGTCTTGTTTTATCTTGTCATGTCTTACTTTATCTTGTCATGTCATGTTTTATCTTGCCATGTCTTACTTTATCTTGTCATGTCATGTTTTATCTTGCCATGTCTTACTTTATCTTGTCATGTCATGTTTTATCTTGTCATGCCATGTTTTGTCATGCCATGTCTTGTTTTATCTTGTCATGTCATGTTTTATCTTGCCATGTCTTACTTCATCATGTCAGGTTTTATCTTGTCATGTCTTACTTTATCTTGTCATGTTTTATCTTGTCATGTCTTACTTCATCATGTCATGTTTTATCTTGTCATGTCTTACTTTATCTTGTCATGTCATGTTTTATTATGTCATGTCTTACTTTATCTTGTCATGTCATGTTTTATCTTGTCATGTCATGTCTTGTTTTATCTTGTCATGTCTTACTTTATCTTGTCATGTCATGTTTTATCTTGCCATGTCTTACTTTATCTTGTCATGTCATGTTTTATCTTGTCATGCCATGTTTTGTCATGCCATGTCTTGTTTTATCTTGTCATGTCATGTTTTATCTTGCCATGTCTTACTTCATCATGTCAGGTTTTATCTTGTCATGTCTTACTTTATCTTGTCATGTCATGTTTTAGCTTGTCATGTCATGTTATATCATGTCATGTTTTATGTTGTCATGTCTTACTTTATCTTGTCATGTCATGTTTTATCTTGCCATGTCTTACTTCATCATGTCATGTTTTATCTTGTAATGTCTTGTTTTATCATGTTTTTTTTTTTCCTCTGTTGTGTTGTCATGTCATGTTATTTCATCTTGTGTGATAGGGTTCTGGCAGAGCTGCTTTCCTCAGCAACAAAGGCCAGGAGGAAGATTTGGAGACTATAAAGAAACGGAGACTCCCTATAGCTGGCGCCCTCTGGTGGACATATGCCTGCAGCCTGGTGTTCAGGCTGCTATTTGAAGGAGGATTCATGTAGGATCTGCCACTCTTTTCCATAATATTTCTGGTTTGCTATAATCAGATGCTTTCTGTCTCCACACAGTATGTGTCTTTGTCTCTCCAGGTACGCTCTGTACGTGGTGTACGATGGTTTCCAGATGCCACGGCTGGTGCAGTGTGACCAGTGGCCGTGTCCTAACCTGGTGGACTGCTTCATCTCACGCCCCACCGAGAAAACCATCTTCACCATTTTCATGGCCACTTCCTCCTCTATCTGCATGGTCCTTAACATGGCTGAGCTTGCATATCTTGTTGCCAAGGCTGTCACTAGGTAGAGGTATTAATCAGTCAGACAGTCAGGTGATTAATTAAAATTCGAAGTCCTCCATCTTTCATGTGGGTTATTGAAATGCAGAAAGTCCTTGAGTCCACATGTCACATCTTGTTTTTTCAGGAGTCTCAGTGGTCAGAAGGAGAGGAAAACATGCAGAAAGCAGAATAAGACAAACCAGAAGTTACTCGTCTCAACCTGAGGAAGCAGCACCAAGGTGGGCGATACATGCAGAAGAAAGATTTTCCAAAGACTTAAAAATCTTTAAAACTTAGGTGCTACACATGTGAATGACAAACTGTGTGTAAATAGGACTCATTGAACATTTTCTATGATACCTTAAATGTAACCTCAAAGGGTGGAGAGGATGGAATCAGTGTCAACTCAAATCTGTATTTTTACATGATACTGTAGTGTCTGAGATTGTATGTCAATTCTTAATTGTCAGTACTTGAGTTAATTGGATATAAATGCACTCACCATTTCCTACTTTATGTACCTCAAATAAAGTTTCATCTTATCGTAACTGTGTCTCAGTCCAATCGTTTGATTTAATGATGACATGATAATAATAATGCTCTTGTCTGGAGATCTAAAATTAGTAACTCAGGGAATACTTTGTATTGTATTGGAATGAAATTGACTGAACAGGACAGCACACGTATTTTCATTGACAATAGAGGCATCAAATGATCCACTATATTAACCTCTGCTGACCTCTGCTGGTGGCCAGCAGCAACTGCACCACCTCTGACAGCTCCATGGTCTCCTCCTATGAGGGACAGTCACAAAATATGTCTGGTGAAGAGGTGATGTCACCCCATAATAAGTGACCATGGTGAAGCAGTTTGTGGCTTAAAAAAACTCTTAATAGCCTACTTATTCAGAAGTAAAATTATGCAGGAATTGCAAACTAACTTCACTTCTATTTTGTTTAATACAGTGCCGTACCCAGAAATGTTTCACAGGGGTGGCCAGAAGAAGCCACAGAAAATTATTGGTCAGCACACCAAAACCAAAAGCCATGACTGACTTTCTAGAAATGATGTTATGCTTTTGTAGTGTTTAGGCGAGTTGAAGACTGTGTTAATATGAGAAGTAAGGAATCACATCCTGATAAACTTTGGCTTCTTATTTTACAGTTAATAATACAAATCATCTGATGTATATAGACTAATAGTGGTACAGTTAATATTTTGAGTTTCACAACAATCCTGTTTTATTGTGTTATGTATCTATATGTCAGGCGATTCATTGTCCTTCAAATAGGCTGGTTGTCCTTTTCCTTAAAAAGACAAACACAGCTTTAATTTGAGGGAGTAAATTGATTGTCAGGAACAAAACATTTACTGGGAACAAGCCTTCTCCAGTTCAGGGGAGACTTGTGGGCACCCACTGCAATTATATCAGGCGCCAGTGGTTAAATGACTTGTTTTTGTTCATTTATCCCCTTTTGACATACATGTATATTTCCAGTACAACTTTACATCAGATATTAGGCTACTGCTAAATATGGGGTATTTCTAATAACAACATAGCTACTTCTGTGGTTATAATAAATATATAGACTTAATGTTGTAGTAGTAGTAGTAGTAGTAGTAGGAGGAGGAGGAGGAGGAGTAGTAGCCTGGTAGTAGTAGCAGATAGTAGTAGCCTGGGAGTAGTAGTAGTGGTAATAGTAGCCTGGTAGTAGTAATATGGTAGTAGTAGCCTGGTAGTAGTTGTAGTGGTAATAGTACCCTGGTAGTAGTAGCCCGGTAGAAGTAGTAGTGGTTATAATAGCCTGGTAGCAGTAGCCTGGTAATAGTAGCCTGGTAGTTGTAGTAGTAATAGTAGTAGTGGTAATAATAACCTGGTATTAGTACCCTGGTAGTAGTAGTGGTAATAATAGCCTGGTAGTAGCCTGGTAATAGTAGCCTGTTAGTGGTAGTAGTACTAGTAGTAGTGGTAATAATAGCCTGGTAGTAGTAGCCTGGTAATAGTAGCCTGTTAGTGGTAATAGTAGTAGTAGTAGTAGTGGTAATAATAGCCTAGTAGTAGTAGTAGTAGTAGTTTTAATAATAGCCTGGTGGTAGTAGTAGTGGTAATAGTAGCTTGGTAATAGTAGCCTGGTAGTGGTAGTAGTAGTAGTGGTAATAATAGCCTGGTAGTAGTAGTAGTAGTAGTAGTGGTAATAGTAGCCTGGTAGTTGTAGTAGTACTAGTAGTGGTAATAATAGCCTACTGGTAATAGTAGGCTATTACCAGTAGGCTATTATTACCACTACTACTACTACCACTAACAAGTGGTAGTAGTAGTATAGTAGTAGTAGTAGTAGTAGTGGTAATAATAGCCTAGTAGTAGTAGTAGTAGTAGTAGTAGTTTTAATAATAGCCTGATAGTAGTAGTAGTAGCAGTAGTAGTGGTAATAGTAGCGTAGTAGTAGTAGTAGTAGTGATAGTGGTAATAGTAGCCTGGTAATAGTAGCCTGGTAGTAGTAACCTGGTAGTAGTAGTAGTAGTAGTAGTAGTAGTAGTAGTGGTAATAGTAGCCTGGTAATAGTAGCCTAGTAGTAGTAGTAGTGGTAGTGGTAATAGTAGCCTGGTAATAGTAGCCTGGTAGTAGTAACCTGGTAGTAGTAGTAGTAGTAGTAGTAATAGTAGCCTGGTGGTAGTAGTAGTAGTAGTAGTAGTAGTAGTAGTAGTAGTGGTAATAGTAGCCTGGTAGTAGTGGTAATAATAGCCTGGTAGTAGTAGTAGTAGTCATAGTAGTAGCCTGGTAGTAGCAGTAGTAGTACTAGTAGTGGTAATAGTAGCCTGGTAGTAGTATTAGCGGTAATAGTAGTAGTGTTAGTAGTAGTAGTAGACTTGTATTAGTAGTAGCCTAGTAGGAGTAGTAGTTGTAGTAGCCTGGTAATAGTAGTAGTGGTAATACTTAGCCTGGTAGTAGTAGCCTGGTAGTAGTAGTAGTAGTAGTAGTGGTAATAATAGCCTGGTAGTAGTAGTAGTAGTAGTAGTAGTAATAGCAGTGGTAATACTTAGCCTGGTAATAGTAGCCTGGCAGTTCTAATTGTGTTAGTAGTAGTGTTAGCAGTAGTAGCCTGGTAGTAGCAGTAGTGGTAATAGTAGCCTGGTAGAAGTAGCCTGGTAATAGTAGCCTGGCAGTAGTAGTAGTAGTAGTAGTGGTGTTAGTAGTAGTAGTGTTAGCAGTAGTAGCCTGGTAATAGTAGTGTTAGTAGTAGTAGTAGCAGCCTGGTAATAGAAGCCTGGCAGTAGTAGTGGTGTTATTAGTAGTAGCAGTAGTAGTAGCCTGTTAATAGTAGTAGCAGTAGTAGTTGTTGTAAACAGTTTTAAAGTGGTATTGAATTTGTCCTGTCAGTGAAGTGATGGAGTCGCCTCTGCCCCCTGTCCATACCTCCACATACACACACAAACACACGCGCGTGCGCGCACACAAGCACATACCTTCCCCCCCACCACAACCCCCCTCGTGCGCCCCATGCACGGGGACACCAATGTGTGACAGTGGCGGATGGCCTTGGCCACGCGGGACGCAGCCGCTGCGCTTCGCCTTCGCGGGACAGGTTCCACACGCGCTCTTTTTTAGACTAGACTAGCCTCTCGTCTTTTTTACTCTCTCTCTCTCTCTCTCTCCCCCTCTCTCTGTACTCCTCTCTCTGTGTCTCTCTCCCTCCCCCTCCTCTCCCACTAATCTCACCTACTCCTCGCCTGGTCGCCTCGAGCCCTCCCGTGGGAGTCAAAGAAAGAAGAAGGAGGAGGAAACAAAGTGAGAGGAGAAGAAGAAGCGCGCTGCCGGGAGGGAGACGTGTTTCAGAGGAGAGCGGTAAGCAGGTGGATGCTGGAGTGATGGTGTTGGTTGGAGTGGGAGGGAAGAGGAGGGATTATCAGCCTTCCACCTGCTGGATTATCAGCACCTCTCATGTTGCGTTCACTTCACTGTGGGAAAGACGGCAGACAGGAAGCCACTAATATCTCAGGAATTGATTTAGGATTTTTTTTTTTTTTTTTTTTGATAAAAACGGAACATAAAATCTTTGAAATTCCTTTTTTTTTTTAAATTTCCTTTACTATAATCAATTAAAACACATCAACCTGAGCCACTGACAGTCAGTCAGGATGTATTATAGCTAACCTACAATGCCAATTGACAGTTTGTCTTCTCAGTGTCAGCCACCCTGTTCTCTTAATCTGCTTCATGAAGTGTGTTGGAGCAACTTTTTGGTCATTTTTGTATTTATTCAAAGAAGCTAGATTGGTAAAGCATCAAAAATCACAATTTTGCATTTATCACAATTTACAATATAAAAATAAATATGTCATTTTATTATTTATCATCGGCTAATACTACTATATGTTTTTAAAATGTACACAACCTGCTTAAAACCAGTGTTCCTAATGGGCAACCAATGTTTTGTTTTTTTGTTGCAGTTTCCATAGTAACACATTGCTGCTCTTAACTATTCTCTTGTTAAAATGACCATTACCATATTCCCTGTTTATTCTGGGATGTTTTGGGATGGATGTTACTTTCTTGGGGTCCAAAACCTGGACACTTGGACACGCTGATGAACTCTTTCCATCAGTTTGCCTTCTTTTATCTTTATCTACATTTATAGTACTGCTCTGTACTTTCACACACATTTAGTCATTTATTTACATTTATGGTATTGCATATTATATATAACATTATACTTATTTATTCTTTGTATTCATTACATCCCCTTTGTGCAATTTTAAGCATGCCTAAACACTTTTACGCATTGTTAAACATCTTTTTTGCACTTTTACACACTGTGCACTTTGTGTGTACCCTTGCACACTTGCTGACCCTGAGCTGTTATTAATCTGTAGCATCATTTCTTCCAAGAATCAACATTACTCATGGAGTAACCCAGCTCCTGACATATAAGCTTACCTCGGTTCATCTGACTGACTTATATTATGTTTATGGATGTGCATTTAACCAAAATCAGGCTGACTTTATTAACAGACTAGTCTTTGGTGTCAACATTGCCACTGTCTGCATATCTTAAAAAAGGTTTTCAGGGTGCGAACGGCAGGCCAAGAGTTAACTGTTTGGGCTGTTTTAGCACAAAGACCTCTGATCCATCAAAAGCACACCCCAGCCAGGACAATGTCCATCTAGCAGCTTCGCTATTGTCTGTCGTGACAGATGGTATTTCATCACGTCAACACATCATGTACATGTACACATGCCGCTGTGAGATCAGTAGACAGTTACAGTAACTAGTCCATTTATTTACTGAGACTGTTCTCCCTTCGTTCAGCTCTAAGGTTTGGAAAAGTCACTGAACGTTTGTGAATTTAGCAAAGATGTTTGAATATGTTGAGGTAGATTTTGGAATATTTATTGTAGTAAAGGGAATTAACAGAACTCAACTTCATTAAGACTATTATATTTCCTTTATGGACTTTCAGACTGCTGATTTACTTCTAGTGATGATAAAAAGGACAGAAGCTGTGATCGTAACTTTTATTTTAGAAGTAAAATATAAGTTTCATTGCCCTCACGTTGGTGGCGTAGTGTGTGTTACTGTAACTTTGAGTGTGTGTTTGTGAGTCCGTACATATCAGTCGATCCCAGGCAAACATTTGCCCTCCTCAGCATTCCTGGGATGTGATGAGTCCAGCATTCAACTGGGACAACCTGTTATCCACTCATTCACTTCCCACAGATGGCCAGCCATTGTCCACTAGCCAGCCAGCTCTGCAACACACACACACACACACACACACACACACACAAATACATGGACGTTTGCAAGCAAATGTATATGTGGATAAAGTAAGAAAGGCAATCACAAAGCACTTTTTCCATACGTGCATAAATACACATGCATCTACATCTGCAGAGGACACACAGATGTATGGATACACTTTTAATCTATCTTTAGATTTATGTTCAGTAGGTCAGCTTCCTCATAAAAGCACCACAACCATAGTGTCCTCCCTATATTTTGTGATGGATGAATGCATACAAATTTTAGTGCCAAGTCCTTATTTTAGTAGGCAGAGAGTCACTAAACATGAGGTTTTGTTGCGTGCTACGATAAATTCCGTGCAGATCTCAAACTTTGACTGGCTCTGGTTTATTATTTTAGTGGCTCATGAAGAATAAGTGTTTCAGGAACTAAAAGCAATGAGATATAATCCATGCTGTATGTGAGGTTTGACCATAAATGAGAATTTTGTGTGATTTCTGTTTGAAAATGACCTTTAAAGTTGACAAGAGTGTTCTGTCTCTCCTTTACAGATATAGTTTTTCTTCTGATCTCTGGTCGATGGATTTATCACTGACAACACAACAATATTTTAGTAAGTCTGCCTTCCCTTTCCTTATTTTGATACTTTTCACTTCCAATTTGTCAAAGAGCAATGCACTTCGTCAGCAGCTCTGCATGTCAAGGGATGCTCAGGGATGGCGTGTCAATTTACGCTCGTTCCATGCAATGTGTCTTTTTTTAAAAAACATCTGTTTTCACAGGAAACGTAGAGTTCCCACTTGTTAAATGCATGCAGTCTCTTTTCAAAACAAACTTAGAACGTAGGTAAAAAAAACTGTTTTAGATTAATTTCCTTAGGTTCAGAGAACAAAATGTTGTTTGGTGCATAAAAAATGGCGGTGCATCCACACCCACATCGCCTCTAAAAGGTGCCTCGGTGTGTCAGTATCTGATGCCGAGGGCCACTGACCAAGTGTCAGTATTTGACGAGTTGAGAGTGAGATCGGGTTGCATTTTGTTGTCCCTTCTGACCTAAAAACATGTAATAGACATTTCATTTGGATCCTGGTCTGTTCTATTACTGAAAAGGTGTTCAGTACAGAGTAGTCATGGAGCTGGTGAAAATGAGTCTCCTAAAACTAATTTGTTATAAACTATCGTAACTTTTAGGTAGGCAGTGACCTATCATTCAACCAAAGAGCTAAGCTGTTGCCTCGGGGGGCAATGAACATGGCATTCCTTTGAGTCAATCCCATTCTGGTGCTATCATTAGTCCCAGTGTGTATTAGTCCACCGCTGAATATTTTATTTCACAATAAAAGTATATATATGTGACCCAGTTTTTAAATGTTTTTTCTTCAGTGGGAACCAATGGGCTTACTGCAGAGTGCTACAGACAAAGTGCAGTGATTTTGGTCTTTTGTTAAGAAAACTATTGGAAAAGTTTTCATCACTTCACAATCTGTTCATCTCTGGTTTCTGTCTCCAGACAGTACTTGTGCTATCTTCTCTGTCTCCTGCGTCTCCTCTCATTTTGCGTCTTGTCTTCTTCATCACACTCTTGTTTTCCTCTCCAGGCTAGATAATCGAGTGAAGCATGGGTGACTGGAGCTTTCTAGGGCGGCTGCTGGAGAATGCTCAAGAACACTCCACTGTGATTGGAAAGGTGACTGATTGACTATTGATTAACTCGATGAATGGTAAATGAGTTTACCCCTCATTCTCACATTATCCTGAAATGGCCACAATTTAGAATATTTTATCATCTTCTTGGTAATTTGTAGGACTGTCCTCCTCGAATATGCTACCACATAGGTTGCTTGTACAAGCAGCATATTATGACCCATATACAGTTATATTTATGCAATAACCTCTAATGGCCATAGTAATTATGACAGGAGTAAAGGAGGAAGTCAGGTGACACAGTATACATAACTAGGTAGTCTGGGAAGAGAAGAAATCAGGGTGGACAGGTGGGTCAAAAAACAAAATAACTCCCGACAGGGGAATAGAACCCCGACGCGCAGCAGAGGGGTTTCATTCCACTGAAGGGAGTTATTTTCCTAGTATTCACCGGCTCATTATAAATTATCCCGCTTATTACACGGCTAATTATCAGTTAAATAAATAATGTTGTCTGCCTCTGCGAAGTACATTAAAACCGACCGGATTCGACAACTTTTGGTGAAAGTTTTGTACTCACCCAGGCTTAGTGGACTGAACCGAGGCATAAAACTTGCGTAAAATGTCATTAAGCATGACTGCCGAGTGTGTATTCAAATCCGTCTTCTTTTGTTTTTGGCAGAGAAAGTCCGTAGGTATTCTTTTTCTTCAGTGGCATCCGTTAAAATCAGCCACTTCTGTTTGTTTTTCCCTCGGAAGTTGTTTGACAGCTGCAGTGTTGCAGGGCAGCATCCCTAGCAACGCTGGGCTACATAGCAACTGTGTGTAATGACCGTTGCTACTAGCAGCGGTCATTACACAGTAATATCAGACCGCAGAATGCCGCTACTGACCAATCAGAATACAGCATTTAATAGAGCCGTGTAATAAAACTATGTAATGTAGTATGTCATGTGGTATTTGTGTCGTATGTCACCTAAGTTACACCATGTTATGTTAGTAACAAGTGTACTTATTTCAACCCAAACCTTGATCTTTTTTCGTAACCTAACTAGGTACTTTTCCCAAGGTTCCTCAATGTTAATCATGTGTTTGAAGCTGCAATTATTTGTGGCATTTAGGTATGACACCGTTAAGGGTGCGATATCAGGAAATGCTCCTGTGGGTCGTATTAGAGGGTATCCAGCAAACATTGGATTGATGGTGACATCGTGTCCCTGGCAAAAAATGTTCCAGTGCCAAAAAGTGCGGTTGTGGGGCAGACAGCCAGATGGTGACATGGTTTCATTATCGACCCTCTCTTACAAACCAAGAAATATTATTGCTATGAAAAAAACAAATGCATGTATCTTTGTGAGATACATAGACACCATTCTTGCCCAGTGACAGGGTTGCACAGCTGACTTCGACCACACTAAGTTTAGCTGGAGTTCCTAGGATATCTGGCTGCCTGCTCTGTTTTGTAACCCTCCCTTCCTTCCTCCTCAGGTGTGGCTGACCGTCCTCTTTATCTTCCGCATCTTGGTGCTGGGCGCAGCAGCTGAAGAGGTTTGGGGTGACGAGCAGTCTGACTTTACTTGTAACACGCAGCAGCCCGGTTGCGAGAACGTCTGCTACGACGAGGCTTTCCCAATCTCCCACATCCGCTTCTGGGTGCTGCAGATCATCTTCGTCTCCACGCCCACCCTCATCTACCTGGGCCATGTGCTGCACATTGTCCGCATGGAGGAGAAGAGGAGGGAGAGGGAGGAGGAGCTCAGAAAGGCCGGACGGCACCAGGAGGACCACGACCCTCTCTATCACAACGGGGTCGGGGATGGAGGAGGAGGTGGTGGTGGGAAAAAGGAGAAGCCTCCAATTCGTGATGAGCACGGGAAGATCCGGATCCGCGGGGCGTTACTGAGGACCTACATCTTCAACATCATCTTCAAGACTCTGTTTGAGGTGGGCTTCATCCTGGGACAGTACTTCCTCTATGGCTTCCACCTGAGGCCGCTCTATAAATGCGGCCGCTGGCCCTGCCCCAATACTGTGGACTGCTTCATCTCCAGGTTAGAGAGTAGCATTTTATCTTTGTGTGCTTGTTCATTAGCAATGCAAAAATGTTTTCATATTACTCCGTGCATTTGCTTAAATTGACCATTCATCTAGCCCTGTTCCCCATAGTTACTGTTGTTACACGTACCAAGCTTTCTGTTCTTGCACGACATAGTGGCCATTCACAGTGATTTACCATGCTTATTATTTGAAAGTTCTGAAACAACTGGTCATTGATTTCCCACAAAAGGAGACAGAGAAGTCCCGGCTGAAATGTTGCAGTGTTATAATTCTGTGCAGTGTTTTGGCTTGTTGCAAGCCTTTAAACACATTAATCGGTTCCTCCAACTTCCCGGATTGCACTTCATTGTCTTACTGGTACATTTTGCTGCAATCCATTGTAAGTCGGAAGTTGTAATTTTGTAAATTGATAGTGTGAGCTACCACCAGTAGCATCACGTTGCTGGGTGTATTCATTTGGACGGAGAAAGAGATACACATCCTCGTAAAGACTTCTATCAAGCCTAAATCAACTACATTGAAATGTCAGCTACAACATTGTTACAGCACATTTCACAACACAAACACTACATAAAGTAAAATAATTGATTAAAAGGTCTTTCTGCTCAGTTTACTGTGTGTGCCACCATGTTGTGACGTCAGGTGCATTTCTGTCAGCAAACTAAGGCTAGATGGATCTTGCCCAAGTTTCCCACTTGGAATTGGCCCCACTTCAACTGGTCACTTGAACAACCGTTCCATTGCACTTTTCCGTGTTGGAGGTTGTTTTTTTCCAAGTTTTGAGTACATTGGATTGCAGCATTAAACAACACACCCCCACCAGCGCAGCTGCTGTAGGGCAGTTTTTGAACAGACTGTGTGTATGCAGCGTCCCCAAGCACTTATCTTCAACATGTGGCAAAACCAAAGCCTGACAGGCCGGCTGTGCCTTGTTGCTAAGCAATGTTTGCTCTTCAGGGAGACATGTTGGGAACAGTCAGTTCAAACAAAAAGCATTGTCACCAAAAAAAAAAACAAAAAAACATCACAAATGTGTGTAAAATATTGTACATTTCCTTTCCTTTGTGATGCTATTTCTTCATACATTTTCTGTGAATTAAATCTGTCTCTGTCCATCTGTTGTTGCAGGCCCACTGAAAAGACAATCTTCATCATCTTCATGCTGGTGGTTGCCTGTGTTTCGCTGGCCCTCAACCTGCTGGAGATCTACCACCTGGGCTGGAAGAAGGTCAAGCAGGGGGTCACCAATGAGTTTGTACCTGACAGCGAGTCGCTGATGCTGGGCAGAGACGAGCCTGGAGATGCAGAGACGATCCCTGAGCAGACCTCTCAGTCAGTGCTCGACTGTTTGCCAGCGTACGCCAGCGTGAATGTCGTGGGGGCTGGAGCAGCGTTGGGAGGAGCCTACAGTCCAACTGAAGCCTCCCCTGCAGTGATCCCCGTAAGCCCAAACACCACCAGACTGAAGATGGACAGCACAGCGTTCCACCCAGATGACTTCCTGTTGGAGGCCCTGCCCAGTTCTTATTATGGTGACAGAGTGCGTGTCGGGAGCCACGGGCAGCTGAGGGCAATGGAGCAGAACTGGAACAACATGGCACTGGAGCTCAACAACGTGGATGGGAAAAACTCATCTTCCTCCTCCTACCCTCCTCCTCTTCCCTCTCCTCCCACCTCCGCCTCCTCCTCCCCTCATGAGGAGGCCACCCCACCACTTCCACAAGGGGAGCAACACTCCATGTTTCCTACACTCCCTCGTCACACCCCTCTTTCCCCGATCGCACCAGAGGAGACATCAGTGAATGAGAACACATCACCTTGTATGGTTCCACATGACGACTTCACCGTGGTTACCAAGGCGGAGATGCATAAGCCTCCTGCTGCTGCGAGAGACATCCGGAAGCCAAGTCGGGCCAGCAAGAGCAGCGGCGTCCGAGCTCGCCCCGATGACCTGGCAGTGTAGCTAAAACACACACACTCACACATCTACACACAAACATGCTGTGTTCACATAGAAAACCTACATTTTATTCCACAACAGCATAAAACCACACACAAGCATGGCCTCCAGCAAAAGACATGCCTGCAAGGAAAACGTGCAAAACGCGTTACCACATTCAGCTGGAGGCAGCTGCTTATTTTAATCTCAGTATTATGAACTAGAAGTAGGGATTAACGAGAGTTTGGCCAGACACAATCTTCTCAATTTGTAAGACATCAATCAGCTAATAGGGGCTTTGCAGAAATCTCCGAGCAACACATCTGGAGTTATTTTGGAGAGCAGTGGAGAGATGCTATGCACACAGTGGGTCCATCCAATATTCAGAAGCATCATACTTATTCATATCAAATTTAAATCACAAAAATTGTTATTAGAAAAGGCAGCAGCAACACTGTCGCACACTTAAAACGACACACAATCATAAAGCTCAGTGGATATGTGTAGGGGAGGAAGGAAGCCTGCCTCATGTCTTTCTGCTAAGCTAATCAACTCATGGTTTTAGCTGAAATGTTAGCACACAAAAAATTGTAACTATTCCTTGAAGCAATACAATCAGCATTTTCTCAGCAAAAGCTCTCCAACATGGCTGCCAGAGGGTGTGTTACAGCACCTAATTCTTTCTTTAAATGATGACTTGCTTGACGCAAAGGGAGAAAATAAGAGCCAACATGGCTGCTGCTTACCATACTGGCCATACTCTCACTTCTTCTTTGGAGAGGTTGGACAGGGGAGGAATACGCCCATGAAATGGGATCACAAACACTTACACCCACAAACACACATACACCGTATATATACATATAGCCAGCACAGACACAAATAAGGAAAGGTTCTAGTGATGATGATGATGATGATGGTGGTGATGATGATGATTGGACTAACTAATGAGTTTGGGAGCGTAGAGGCAGCAATACTATATTCTTTTATTTTCATCTATCTTTCTTTGCTGGGAGACATCAGAGGAGAGGTTTGCACTTTTGTTTCTTTATTTTTATTTTTCTTGTGACGTGATGATGGAGCTGAACAGTCCGTGTGTCACGTTGAACCTGTCTGTCTGCGTGTACGGTACGCTCAACCAGCCTGTAGTTTCAATGAAGAGAGGGACGCACTGACGTTAGGACAGAGCAGACGACTGGAGGAGAGCGATGAAGCAGTCCCACCCTGAGACATGGTCCTTAGGCTTCACAGGCTGTGTGTGTGTATGTGTGTGTGTGTGTGTGTGTGTGTTTGGGTCCCTTAATCATGTTTCAGTGTTTACAAAATGACATCTCTGCAGTTACATCAGGGTAAACTATATAAAGTATATAAATATGTAAATATATAATGATAATAGTATTGACAGGCACCACAGGATGCATTTTAAAAAGTTCTGGTCAAGCTGCAATTTATAGAGACTTTTACGCCAAAAGTGCTTTAGCGTTTTCTGACCAACAGGTCACTATGCAAAAATCCAAAGTTGGAATCAGTGGCGCCCCTAAGGGGGGGCCATGGTGGCCACCCTGATACAATTCCTGCTCTCCCCACTGGCCCCTCCTGATGAAAACGATTAGAGGCCGACATAGCTGAATTTCAGAGGCTGTCGTGTGCTAATTTTTAAGCTATCGTAAAGGTAGTGGCATTTTGTAAACCTAGACAACCCAAGGCATCCATTGGTACCAACCATGTTGGCATAGCTTGTTGGAAAGGGGGATGAATAATGTTCCAAATTTAGGCTGGCCAAACTGGCATGGCCATTTTTAAAAGGGTCCCTTGAACTCTCACCTCAAGGTATCAGAATTAAAATGGGTTCTGTGTGTACCCACGAGTCTCCCCTAAACTTGAGAGGGCTTGTTCATTGTACAATTAATGTACTCCCTCAAATTAAAGCTGCATATTTGTCTTTTTAAGGAAAATTAAAACCAGCCTATTTGAAGAACAATGAATTGCCTAACATGAAAAGATACAAACACATGAAAACCCTCAAAATGAAGAAAGAACTCAAAATGTTAACTGTACCAGTATCAGTCTCTGCATATCAGATAATAGCATGAACTGTAAGATAAGACACCAAAGTATATCAGTATGTGATTCCTTAACTCAAGGTGTGCCACCCCACGGTTTTCAGTGGCCCCATCTGGCCACCCCAATGAAAAAATTCTGGGGGCGCCACTAATAAGAATTTTTTTCAAAAGAGTACACAATCAAGGGCTTAAACTACATTTACAGCAATTCTAAGCTTTGCAGCTTGAACAGAGCATAAAACCAGTACACCTTCTTTCTGATGCTTGTGTTTGCAGTGTGTTACAGAACTGTCGAGTTCCCCCCTAGCTGTTCTGTGTAGGAGTTAATTTTCTAGACTAGCTGTAGATTATACAGTAGATTTTAGATTTTTTGAAACAAAAAAGAGAAAGTAATATGATCTCAAAAAGTGCTAACTTTTATTTCTCTGTCAGTTCTTAACAGACATCCCACATAGGAATGTTCATTTTCCTGTTCTTCTCATTAATTCCTGCCAAAAAAAATACATAAATTGCTGATTTAATTCCCAACAGCTTTAATTCATCAAATTAAATTGTTAATGTTTTCATTCAGGAATAAAAGTGCACCCCGTTAGCAAGTTAACAAAGGATAGTGGTTTGGGGCAAACAGCGTTTTGGGTTTGTATATCTTTGTGTTTACTTCTGAACAGATAGATGATTATACATAAGATACTTGAAATGGTACGACTAGAATACTAGAAACGTACTAATTATATCACACGTGCCTGAATTAGCATTAAACAACCAAAATACCCAAACTAAAGTTAAAAAAAAAAAGTCTGATTGACTATGTTAACATTTCAATATAAACAAAAAGTTGTTTTTGTGGTTAGGCAATATAATCTTAACTCAAGGTCCACTTGCTTTTTCTGAAGCTTTCAACCACATCTCACAGTCTTCATTGTTTTTATAGTTGTGTCCAGGTCTGGTAAAATGTTTTACCATCAGGTAAATAACCCACGACATTGTCCTGGGTTTGATCACCGTAGAAGAAGACTGTCATGCTGAGTCAGATCTGATCAGAGTGCCTTGATTAATGTTTGACTGTTAAATGGTCATATGCGAATTGAATTTCCCTTTGGGGATTAATAAAGTATATAAAATGAAAAAATCAAATTAAAAGACATGCGGGGCGACCTCTAGCTCACCTGGTAGGGTGTGCCCCCCATATAAGCTGAGTCATCTGCAGAGGGCCAGGTTCAATTCCAACCTGTGGCCCTCTGCTGTGTGTCTACCCCCTCTTTCTCCCACCTTTCCTGTCTATCTTAGCTGTCCCATCAATAAAGGCAAAAATCACCCAAAAATAATCTTTAAAAAACTGGTCTCATCACTGTTCCAGGAATGCTACCCATCTGCATTCAAGGTAACTTGGAAAATGTGTATGAGCTCAATAATCATTTAAAGCTTTTGGCTATAACAGCCAGGGCCTAAGTAAATCAAGGTAGCTCAGAATTAGCACTGAGGCTAACTTCTAAACTGCTAATGTCAATTGCATATTGTAAATCTATCACACCTTATTAACGCTGTTAATTATTGCACATTAACAAAACTGGTATCCTCAATGTTTTTACATATAAAATTGTAAAAGGAATAGTTTGGTGGCTTTTTTCAAATTTCTCCCTGCTTGCTGTCTTTATGCAAAGCTAAGCTAACTGTATCCTGGCTGTAGCTTCATATTTAATGCACAGGTATGACAGTGGTATCAACCTTACTCAACCCAACTATTCCCTAAACATATCTAGCTGATTGTTGAGGTACCACGCAACCCAATCACCAAAATAAATGTTGGCATCGTATGTCTCTGCAAACCACAGATATCACACACATTTCCTACATTTCAATTTTCAATTTTATGTCGTGACAATGCTGTAATTAACTAACCTGGTTAAGCTACCAACACGTCAAATACCAATTCTTGTTCAGTGGCCCTCAGCGTCAGATAATAACGCATAGAGGCACCCTTTGGGGCTGGCATTTTTTGACACTTCAAGCAACTGCCGGAGTATAAAGAGCAAGATGGGTGGATGGGTCAAATAAACTCCACTGTCCATGTACCATGTGAAATCAATTCAGTCAATCAATTGAGTCATTTTAATAACAACGTAGTGTGCAAGTATGTGTAGCATATTACGCCAGTGACATATGTCACGTAAGGTATGTGACATATGTCATGTGATGTTAGACTATGTTAGTAACAAACATACTCATTTAAAGCCAAGAATAAAATATTTTTTTAAACCCAACCATGTACTTTGTTGCCTTAAGATGAGGACGCAAACCTTATAGTGGAGTTTTGCGCCTACTTTTATGCATGTAGCGAGTGGAAACTATACATTTCCTGCGAAAACAAAAGTTTATTTTGAAAAGACACAAGACAGGTATTGAGCCTAAATTGACACACCGTCCCTAAGCATCTAAAACTGACGCTTGAGGGATACCTAAAGCATCATCGTTTGATGTGTAGGGCCACTGACAAAGCGTCGGCATATGACAAGCTGGGAGTGAGAATGTGTTAGATTAACATGTGGTTAAGTTTACACACTAAAACCACTTGGTTTAGGCTAGGAAAAAAATATGTTTTGGCTAAAATACCCAGTTTGGTCTCAGAAAACACACAGGTGGACATGCCCCAATGCCTCATTAAAAAATATTCACTTTTGTTGCCACAAACATGATGAGACTTGTCCGGATGTCTTGTTAAAAAAATAACTGCTTTTGTCACATTTGCTGGTCTTAAAAAGTGATTTGTCAGCTGTTTGGCAGCTCGCCTTGGTATCATGCCATCCTCCATCCCCTCCTCCTCATGTGAAGTAGCTTGGCTCAAATACATATAATCCGGACTTCATCAAGTAGGAGATGTACAAATTTAAGATAATCTTTTTTTTTTTTTGCAGAAACATACAATGCCAAGATTTGCTTCTGGCAACTGGGTTGTATTTTATCAATTATTTCTTTA